CCTGGAGAGCTGGCAGCGCCCTGCCCCGGCGCAGGGCTGGGGCGAAGGGTGAAGCTGCGTTCTGTGCGGTTGTGGCTGTTGGGAGCCTCCTCCTCCTCCAGTGGGCCTGCGTACATCCGAACAGCGCGGGCATCTGGCTGCTGGGAGTTTGGGGTTTGTTTTGGCCAGGGAACGTGCGGCTGCTAGTGGCTTTTAGCAGCTTTTCCGCTCTCAAGCGCTTCCTTTTCCCTCCTAGACCACACCCCCACCCGCACCCGCGGTGAGCTTCGTGCACTGCTGTGCCCCTGCTGTGCCCTGTTAGTGTTTAAAAACGTATTTAAAACCCAAGTCTCTCTTGCTGTTTGCGTTAATGACGTTTGCTTTCAGGTTTTGAAAGGGTAAAACGCAAATCTTTGTAGAACAGAGCACTTTCAGGTGTGAGCGTCCCCCGTAACTTTGTAGATGTTGAGATTTGTTTCGTAAAACTTAATTTTGTATGAGTTACCTGAGGCCACTCAGAATATTGTCCTGAAATAGACTCATCCAAAAACCTTGAATACGTTTCATGTGATATACTCAGACCTGTAAGATTTGCCAAACATGTTTCTTATAAAAGTCTTATGCCCGTAGTTTTTCTTCTTGCTTTTTTTATCTACTTTTTGCAGTGATTTTTAGGTTAAATGAAAAGATGTTAATTTTTTTTACTTCAGCTATTAGTCTCGTCTTGTTTAAACTTTACAGTTTTTATAGGTAACGTGTTAAGTACCCAGCCTCAGTTCAGGTGAGAACTGGCTACCGCAACTACTTTAAAAGTGTATTTCAGTTTGTTGTGTTTCCTATTTTTGCCACGGAGCCTTTTAGCTGTTTTTTTTTAATGTTACGTTTCAATGCATTGTCATTGTGCTACAATGCATGGTGTTTTCTTGTGAACCCGGGAGTACTAATTTTGTTAGCGTGGAAATAAAACAGATTTAATTCCATTTCCATCAGTCTTCAGGAACCTATATGGAACCTCACTTTCACAAACTACTGTGGGTTGTCTGAAGAACTGCAAACTTCTGCTACTAGAATTCTTGTTCAGCATACGAGGAATCAGAGATTACCTTAGTTATCTCTCCATCTGCATTTTGGTCAATTTTCTGTTCATGGGAAACATTTGAAAACTTGCATATTCTTCAAAATAACAGTGTGTTCTCTGACCGAATCATGTGAACTACCCATTTGATGCAGAAATTAAGATTCAGATTCCATATTCAGAAGAACCATAAAAGATTTGTCTGGTTCTTCTTTCTCTGTGTAATCTTGCTTCCAAGAAGACATGTGGATGGCTTATTTTGAAATATCCCAGAGCTTTTCAAATGGAGAATGAAACCAAGCTCAGCTTTTGCTAAGTGAAGTTGCTGTATGGTGACACAAAGCAGGAAGCCCTAGATGATTTCATGTTGAATGACCTTATTTTGAAGTTAAGGCTAGCTGCATCTCAGGAAGTATAGGTAAAATGCATTGTGTGCAAGGATCTTTATACTTCTTGAAGCACTTGGAGTTTCTAAACAGCTTGAAAATACTTGAAGAATATTAGTAATTTCATTTGGAAGAAAAAGTTGCATCCTTTTCATCAAGCTCAAATAGTACATAATAAATTCCAAGCAGTCATTGGTACTGGAAGTAGGGATTACAAGGTAGCAAGGTCTTCAGTAAAAACAGCACCGTTTTTTAAACGTGTTCCCAAGTCTTTGGGTATCTTCTGTGTCTGATACGATTGGGTCAGATTACAGTTTGCAAACAAACTTTTAAGTCTTTGCATTTCATTTAGGCTTGTCTTGTACTGTCTTTGGAGGTGCTGGTCAGGAGTTTAAGAAATGGCATAGGTTTGGGTTTTAATTGTGAGAGAAGCAACTGCTAACTTAAATTTCTTTACTTGCAGAAGCCATTCATGCCATTTTGGTTTACAGCCAAAATGTAGAAGAAGTTTTGAAACGGAGAAAAGTCTATCGAGAAATAATTTTTAAGTATTTGGCAGCACAAGGAATTCCAGTGCCTCCTTCCTCTGAGAAACACCTACTCATTGATCGTGTAAAGCAGTACTGGAGTGGGCAGCTCACAACACGTTCCTCAGAGTCAGGGGAGAGAAAACCACACGCAAAGGTGAGTGCTGCTTTCTGAAAGACCGGAGGATGCTTAGCGTTGCTTTTGCAGGATAACCCATGTAAATGTTCTAACGTACATCCAAAATGTGGCTCTTCATCTGTATTGAGGAAGGTACTGAATCTCTTTAACTCTTGGCTTGTTTGGTTTTGGTTGTTTTTTTGTTTTTTTTAAATTACATCATTTAAAGGTGTCTGTGCCAACATATCACTTGCAGAGCACAGTCTTCTGCTCTGTCTTGCAAAGTATATTAGTGCATTTGAACTCTAATGTGTGGGGTCTTTTCCATGCTTTTAATTTTTAAGTTGCACTGTAAGCTAAAGTAGAGGGTATTCACAAATAATTATGTGGATTCAAGGACAACTGAAAACAGTGTTAATCGTACAGAAACCTTCCATAGCCCCTTGTCATTTTTTTAATGTGGTGGATCTTCTTAAACTTTTGGTATAGATCTGGGATTTCCAGTCATCCTCCAGCCCACCAGGCACTAGCAATACCATTGGTAGGGCACATCCCAGAGCAGAGCAAAGAGATGCTGTCGGTAGTAGATCATAGGGTGACAACGTCTGTCAGACTGTGGTCTAAAATGTTGCAGGGGAGGGAGGGAATGGAGAGAAAAGTACCTTTTTGTAAGTGGCCTTGATCTACTTCTAGAGACAGTGCAATCAAAGTAGCACTGTCTGTAAGCTGTTTTCCTTTTCACCTCTTGCAGTTAGAGTGCAGAATGGATTTTAGCAAATTTTTATATTGTTGAAATGTAGTTTGTAGCAGTGCCAGGTCTGTGTCATTTCTTCCCGTTGGTATTAGTAACACTTAATACAGTGTAGCTAAATGTGTTTTCTGAAGTTCAAAATTTTGACATTTAGCAAATCCTCGTGGTGTAATGAGCTGTCAGTCTTTTATTAGTCTTGGCTCTTTACCATGTGGCTCTAAATAGCCACCTTGCTCTTTCAAGTGCCGTACTTCTGAGACCTAATGGGCAACAGCCCCACCAGCTGGACTGTTAGAGCTCTGTAGCTGTTGATAACCTATTGTATTGAGCTTTCTCTCAGGGATTAACTGATGAGAATTACAATTTAGGTGAGAATTGTTTTCAAAACAATTTTTTGTGTGCATACTTTGGAAAAAAAAAAAAGTTGCTCTTGCAAGAACACTTTCCAAGTATTACCCCATAGCGAAGCTTTATGATTGAAAGTAAGTAAATTAAATTCTCCAAAGTACTTAAAACACATTCACGAAGAATGAGAAGTTCAACTGGTTTATTTATCACATACATAATCTTTTGCCTTTGTTTTCTCTTAATTCTTGTGGCCCTCACAGTTTTGACGAAATGGGTAAAATGAACCTATGTAACAGAATTAGAAATTAATTACAACTTATTGTGAAACAACTACAGTATTTCTATATAGAAGTCTCCAAACTTTTCATACTTAATACTTACTTAAAACATACTTAATTTAATACTTACTAGACTTTGATGTTAGCAAACTTGACATTTGATTTACTTCTAAAAGTCTTGCTGTCAAGTTGCAAATACTGAGAAGCCCTACAAAATAACTGTACATTTAGTTCTCGTTCAAAAAACACCTCACCTTACAGTTGGAGGTGATACATCTTTACGTTGGAAAGTTTGGATGCTTTTTCTTAAGTAAAAAGTCTTACCTATTGTAAGAGAAAGCAGAGGATAAACAAACTATGTATATACAAATTAAATAGGCTCACAGGACTGTTACTTGAGCATCCGATTGTTGCCTTTTACAGTGACGCTTCCTTTAGAAAGAAGTGTCCTCTAAACCAAATGTGGTTTTATAATCAACTTAAAAACCTTTCTTAAATAACTAAACATGAAGCAACTTGTTTCCTAAATGTTTGTGCTTAAATTTTGCTATTCTTCTACACATAGTTGTAGACATACCAAGAATTCAATTGCAAGGAATAGATTTTTTTTTCTTAGCTTGACCCATAATAGCATCTAAAAAATCTTACTGCTTACTTTGTTGCAGTACATATTTAGTGATACAACACTTGGAGTGGTTTGTCACCCTCTTCTGATATGGTTTTAATAACATGACCATTGGTTCCTTGCTGATACTTGCTTTTGCTACTTACTGTGAACTTGGCTTCAAAACTATACCCACCACTCTGATGTCAGTCTCAGCAACTCATCATTAAACTTAAATATTATTTTGAAGTATTTCTTATCCCCCTACATCTTAGATGTATTTTAGGAGTGTGTGTGTGTCATTTTCTGTGAAACGAGAAAAAAGGGCACAAGTCGCTTGTCCATAACCTATGGGGAACTAGTGGAAGACGTGTTTTGAGTAGTTTCATGCTTTCGTTCACTGGCCCACTCTTCTCTAAGGCTTCTATACAAGACAAGAATCTTTGACTGAGCCTTTTCAAATTATTCTTTGAAGGTTTGGCTGTCTGCTAGCAATCTTTACTTTGTCTCACTACTTAAAAATACTTTCTCAGCAGATTCAGTGTTGAACAAAGGATTTTATGACAGGCTGAATGGAGTTGCCTTTATTCTGGGAGTAAGCCTATGTTGCTACGTGAAAATCCCTGCAGCCCTCCTATCCCAATGTCATATTGTCTCAGTCTGTTTTAAATGATCAGTTGTACAGTTAGAAAAGTAACTGAGATTCCTCGAGACTTTTGTCTATTTTGAAGGAGCAAAGGTAACATAAATTATGGTTTTCTTTGATTTGGGCTCTTTTCCTATTAGAAATATGGTGAAGACTACAAACATCACTCATGAAAGCGACCAAGCACCTTTTGGGTGATTTTTGGCAGTCTTACTGCCAAACAGGGCTAAATTCAGGCACGTAATCTGGTGGAGAAAAAGTTCTGGAACACATTAATTCTTTGAGTGTCAGTTCTTCCTGAACTAGTTTTGCATTTTTTTAGCGTATTCCACTGACATAGGTAGAATACCCCCATAAATCAGAAGTATTCTGTCAGCTTCAGGTATAAGGATGTGCATAGTCAAAAGGTGACTTCCCAATAAGTACTATTTGTTCTTATCAGCTATATGAAGATGCAGACACCAGCACAATTCACCAACTTAAAAGGAACCAAAAAGAAGAGACTGATGGCAACATGAAACAGGAAAAACATGTCAATGTAAGTGCTTATTTGTAAGCACTTTTTAGTAAATTGATACGCCTTAATATGATATTAGCTTTTCAGGTTGGGTCTGTATCCTTGTTTTTCTGTAACCTTCTTTTGGAAATGTAATGGCCAGTGAAGTTACTCACCCAGGTACTTTTTACTCGGCAGAAATTTTGTCTCTCAGTGTGAGAATCCTGGTCTCGTGGAAGTTGTTCAAAAATCCTTCCCCTGCCTTTTTGCAGTAGAACCAAGGTTTTCCTCTTTGTTTATAAATTGGAGACCAAGGCAAAACTGGAGGACTATTCTAACTGTAATTCAGACAACCTACCCTAATTCTCTAGATAAGATGATCATGATCTTGAAAATAAATTAGATTTTACTTCGTTGTTGTTCTGAGACAGAGTGCCTATAGAAAACTTGAAGAAGACTTAATATGTTTAAAAAAGTATTTACATGATTTTATGTTGTTCTAAATGGTAATCTCGCGTGTTAAGGCTGAATAGTTATAAGAAAAAAAAAATGTGCTTGATTGCAGAGTCATGGAGAGAGACAAAAGTCACCACAAGATGACATTCATGATCTAGGAGGAGAGTTCTGTCAATGGTTCTTTGAACTCCTGAATTCTCAACATCCCTTGGGACTAAAATCTGAAGAAAGATGGGGACCACAGCATTTTTGGGAGGATGCCAGGATGAAGTTCTGTTACAACACATTCGAAAAAAACATGGAAGAATATGTTGGTGCAGAAATGGTGAGCCTTCGTCTGCTCTCGTTGGTTAAAGAAGAGTATCTTCTATTCAACCCTAATCTGCACGGCAGTGGACTGAAATGTGCCATGTCTCAACATGGGTTAGTACTGGTAGCAGTGGCTGGCACGGTACATAGAGACAACACTTGTTTGGGCATCTTTGAACAAATTTTTGGACTCATTAGCTGTCCCGTTAGGGAGAATACCTGGAAAATAAAAGCTGTGAATCTTAAAATAGTTGGACAGAATGCCCTGGAGCCTGGGATGCAAATTGAGAAACCCTCCATAAAATACGAGCCAAACCAACTTCAAGAGTTGTATGATGGGAAAGAACTGACTGTGTTTGAACCTCAGAAATTCTGAGCAATTCTTTCACAACTGTGTGACTGGGCGAGGGGGGGAACACGCAGCACTTGTAATGCATAGCTGAATATTGAAATGGTTGCAGCCATGTGATGTTGTCCCTTTTTTGAGTCAGATTTGCTGGATGACAAACTGAGATACAGTCTAAAGTGTTAATACACGTGATGCTTTTGGGCACCTTTCTAAGAGCTAACAAATATTTCATAGTATTTCATAGTATTTGTAGTATTCCATACTACATTCCATACTTAGGAAAGGAGTTAGTTTGGTTATTCTTGGTTACAAAACATGGTTACATTTAAATATGGGTTGGCAGCAGTATAATGAACTAGATAACTCGGGGTTCACAAACTGCAGGTTGCTTCTCTTCAGGTCACCAGTTTAAACTCTTATCTGAGTTGTAACAGGAAGTCATTGCTTCTGGCTTGTTGAAATTGGGATTGGTGAGTGTCTAAATGGATGTCTAAGTCCCAAGAAAATCACTTGCCGCTTCAGGAATTTTTGGGGAGAACAGACAAAATAATGTGAATGGAGGCTGCTGCCATTTATGTTCTAAATGTGGGTCCATCACTGAACAGTAGAAGTACTTTAATGGGACAATGCAGAGAACTTAGCATCGTTGAAGTCTTTTTTTCTTTGGGTTAGTAGCTTCCTTTCCTTTTACCTTATGGTTCGAACTTTGTAATGAATACAGACAAAAGTCTCTGTTGTTCTGTCTGTGGCCCCAAGCAGGCAAATTTGAGATGGTTGCCCAGGCATCCATTTCTAGCACTGACTCTTTTGGATCAAGTAGTTGATTTCATGACTTACAGCAGCACTGTATGAACAAAATGCTTTGATAATTATTTTGTATATACTTACACCAGAGTTTTTAATATAATAGTTGTGATTTTTGTATGTTTTCTCAAAATAAGAATTTTATCTACTCTGAGCTGCTTTGTTACATTGACTAGAAGTCAATTTGTTAACACTGGGCAGTTACAACGACAGGTGATACTAAATAAATAACCCAATTACTATTTCATAACGGAAATTACTGCCATTGTAGAACTTGAATTTTTTTACTTTTTTTTTTTTAATTTATAAGTGATTAGAGGTGAAACAAGATGAAAACTTGTATTTCCGCAGCTTGCTTGGATTGTTTGGGAGTTTTGTTTTAACTTTATAGCTTCACCAATGCAAGTTGTGAAAAAGGAAACATTCCCTGTAACATGGCAAAAGTTCTTTTGGTTTTGATATGTTTGTCAAAGGTGACAAATGGTAAAATTATGGGTGGCTGAGGGGAAACAAGAAGATTCAGGTATGCACAGAACTGGTTTTTATGAACAGTCTGAATCTCGAGTGCTCTTTAAAAATTTCTAAAATAAATTCTTTCCTGAGCAAAAGTTCAAATACTGTATTGGAATGTTCTTTCCCAATAAACAGTTGAGTTGTGGCTTCTTCAGCTACTGATGTATAATAAATAAAAATCACCCTGAATTTAAAATTCGGAAGAAGCAGTTTCATCATATGTGTTGAGAATTGCATTCCTCTTCAGGTGAGGACAGAAGCCTACCTAAGGGCCTAAATGGGTACCTTTTCAACATTCAGTATGACAGCCCGTAATTCAACTAAATATTTTGTCGTTTGCAGAACTGTACTTTGTAACTGGCAGCGTAACTATTACTTTAGTCAGTGTGTTAAATACGAACGTGACTAAGGGTGTAGCTTTCATTAGTGCTTTCAGCTGATGTGGTGCCGGCGGTCCCCTTCCTCCACTCAGGTGCATGTCCTTGCTTCCTTCTTGTATCGGCATTAATGCTTGTGCTAACTCTGAGCGAGAGGGAGTGGGGACTGATCCCAATGAAAGCTAACTCATTGTCAGAAACCCTTCAGGCTGATCAGCTCTGTTAGAAGGCCGGCCACACAGGTGCTAGTGTCAGCGTGAGGAACAGAGATGAGAATTTGCTTTTTTTTGGTGACAACCTGAATTTGGACGTGAGGAAAAATGTCTTTACTGAAAGAGTGGTTAAACGTTGGAACAGGCTGCCCAGGGAAGTGGTGGAGTCCCCATCCCTGGAGGTATTTAAAAGACGTGTAGATGAGGCGCTTAGGGACATGGTTTAGTGGGCATGGTGGTGTTGGGTTGACGGTTGGACTCGATGATCTTAGAGGTCTTTTCCAACCTTAATGATTCTATGATTCTGTGGGATTAAGCAAGTGATCAAATAGCAGTCTTTGTTAATTCTTACATTCCAAATGTTTATGCTTGATAACTTCAAAATACTGAATGCAAGGAGCGTTGTGGTAAATCAGCTTTTTACTAAGGCTGGTACCTAATGAGCTTGTTCTTACTCCTTCAGTTCTCCTACACAAAGTATGCAAGAAAACGTTAAATTGTCACAGCCTTGTGACCGCTGTGTAAATCCCTATTCTGTTGCAGAGTGGAGTAGGTGCTGTATGATTTACTGATGACCTGTTGGTGCAGTTGCTGCTCTTGCATTGTTATCAGGCTGTTAAGAATCTGCATGCATTAGTCTGTGCTCATTAGCCTGCTGAGTGATAACTGATTTTTGCAGCAGCTAGTTTTGGTGTGTGCTTATGGGTTACTTCAAATTGTAGTTACGAAGGAGCAGCTGGTATCAGCAGTTGATGGTTGCTGATGAGCGGCAGTTATCCCAGGCTGCTGCTGCAAAATGCAGGAAACAGTACAGTATCTGCTCTTTACAATCTCACCACCTGAATATTGGTAGGCGCTGACAGTCAGCTGATGCTGAGTAACTGTGGTTTTGCAGTTATTAACTGGTATGACTTTTTTTTTTTTATCCTGTGATACACCTTCCTCTTTTCCTCCCAGGCCTGCATTCCCTCTTTCAAAAGCATACTCGTCCCTTCTAAACGCATTTTATTTCCACTTGGAAGAAAGGATTCCAGTTTTATACTGGTTTTTCAGGCTCTCCACCTTGCAAGGAGGTGGAACTGTGTTTTGAAAGCTGCTGCCTGTTTGCAGTCAGTTGTAGGGGAGACAGGGAGGCAGTGATGCCTCTGCTCTTTGACATTTTGTATATGTAGAAGCGTGCTTGTTTTGTGCCACGTGAGAGTTGGGAGGTCATATTTGTAGTACTGTAACACAGGATGTCACAGGTATTTTTCCGGTGTTTTTATTATTGTTTATAATATGTATCCTTACTGGGAGTTCAGAATTCGATTTTCAAATCATTGTCACAGAATTTTTTTTTTAAGAGTAGAAAAACACTAACTGCAGAGTAAATTTGAGAAAGTACTTTTAGTTTAACCTTGACTTTTTCCTTAAAGTTAGGACTTGTTTAAATGGAGTACAGCCAAAAAACTTCGCTTGAAATATTTATGGAAGTGATTTCATCACTCCCTCTAGATGCTGCTGTTCAGAGTTGAAGTAACTTCTAGTTGGCTTACCTTTGGAAACAATGGCCATTTTAGTTGCATTTGGGAGATTCAGAAAAATTAAATGAAACTTCTTTAAAACTGTTTTCATCAATTTTCCTTTGTAGCACTATTTAGTCAAAGCTCAAGACGTATTTTCAGTAACAATTGCTTATTTCTATCACTACTACTTAAGCTGAAAAGCTAAATTTATATTTTCTAGATCTGTCTGTGGAAAACAATTTGATAGTAAGCAGAATACTGACTTGCAGTGAAAGAGGCAGAACTTGCCGAATTATATAAATGTTGAACAGTGGAAATTGTATCCCTCTGTTCTAATCAGCCACACCAGACAGATTTAATTTTTTTGCCTCTGAAGTAGGAAGCTTAAATGTCTTAAAGCAATATTCGAGCAGAACCTCTGTGGTCATACAGGCCAGCTACCTTACTGCAAGTTACGCTGTATTGGTTTGGCTGTGCTTACTCTCCTAATGCAGAAGAAGAAAAATAATCACAAGGAGACCTTACGTAGAGCATTAAATGAGTTCTGGCTTGTGTCTGTGGTCTAAATATCCAGCAATGCTCAACTGCATGCTATTTTATCACGCTTGTAATAATAACGAAAGAAACCTGTTTTCTGTGGATCCTCATTTCCTCCATGAAATTAAATTTTTAAATGTATTTGGCAATTTGTAAAAGGTGTCTAATATTCTTCACGTATGTCCTGCTCGCTTAGTAATCTAAGGAGGAAATCTTAAGGTTGCTGACCAGTCTTCATCAAAATACTTGCTAGGTTGTATTTTTTCCCCTCATAAATTGCGAAGGTGGATCAACATTGCCTTTGCAGACTTCAGTGTCTGTTTTTCTTAATGTTTCATAGTGCATGTACCATTAAGCGAGCTGTCAGTTGACTCTGTTTCCTACATCCAGTTCCCTGACCTTAAAAACCCCAATGCTTATTTCAGGGACTATTTCAAAAGGTGTGGATTCCTCATTGCTACTGGAAGGACTATTTCACATCTCAGATTAGCTCTAGTTTTATTAGTTCACAAATCTATTGTAATATACTCTAGTGGTGGCTGCAGAAGTAGCTCAGTTGTTATACCATTGGATTGAGGAAAACAATTTGTTTGGAATTGCGATTGTTTTCTCACCTGAAATGTTTGCAAGCAATAGCATTTCTCACACTGCCTGCAGAGTACCTGCAGTCCTCCTCACCTATCTTAATCAAAACTAGGCAGGATAAAAATGACAAAGTTTCCCTGCTAAGCACTCTGTGAAAGTGCAGGCTCTTAATTCTGTAGGGGGTCTGGGTGCCTTCAGCAGCATGTAGATCTACTAATTAGTAGTTGTTATTTTGGAATGGGAATCTAACAGTACGTTGGACACTAAATGCTACTAAGGACGTTTCTTCGAGCTAAGGGTCATACTGGCTTTGCGGATCAGAAGCAAGGCCTGCTGTAGGAGGTGGGGGCAGGGAGATGTCTGCAGGAGAATCAGCTGTGCTAACCCATCTTCTGCTCCGTTGTTTGACCAGATGCCTGTGCTGTGTTTTTTTTCAGAACAGGCTGTAGGAAACTGTCTTAATGCAGTACACCTTGTAGGCATGGATTTTATGCTTTTCAAATAGTATGAATTTGACTTCATTTGTAAAATCTTTACTAACTTTTTTGGCAGTTGAAATAATTTGCCTAAGTCAAATGCTTTTTGTGGCCTGTAGCTAAAAACTGAGTAGTTTATAAATTAGTACGATTTTAGTACGAATTATATAATTGTTTAAAGAGAGCAATAGATCTAAAGATGGTGATGG